AGGGAGCTGGACCCTGAAGGAGCACATTTATTTCATCTAAGCAAACATTTACTAAATACCATCTCCTTAACAAGCACTACCTTCGGGTTAGGGGCAAACGAGATTGGAGAGGGAAAAGAGAAAGAAAATAAATCCCAGGCGCTCCCCACAGAACACCCATGCTGACTGGGGAAGAGTGGGAGGGGTACCCATGGAGCTGTGCCAAGTGCTTCTGGGGAGGAAGGGTCTCCCAGCAGGCAGTATCACAGGAGGCTTTGTGGAGGGGTAACCTTTTGCCAGGTCTTGGAACCTTCTAGATGTCATAGAGATGGAGCAGGGGGGTGGTCATCCCAGACCTAGAAGTGGAAAGCACACCACAGACTCATTGAAGGAGGCACAGCCCCTGCCTGACCACAGGGAAGGAGGACTGAGGGGGCCAAGGAGGGGCTGACAGTCATGACTCAGAGGCCTGGGCTCAAGCCTTGCCTCCCCCAACCTCATCCCACCCTTTAGCTTTGAGACCCTTTTAGGTGAGTTCTTCCTCACCTCTGAGTCCCAATCCCTCACCCATCATCACACACAGGGTAGAGGGGCTATTGTGAGAGTCAGAGCCAACGGGGGTGCCTGGGACGCCATCTCGGTTATTGGCAGTGACCAAACACAGGACCAGTTGGCATAAAATCTGTAATGCAAATAGGAGGGGACCACCAGAGTTGGAGGCTAATGCAGAGGGAGGAAAGGCCTCCTGGAAGGGCAGTGCTGGGGGTACCTGAGCTGGGCCTTTAAAGACTGAGACCTGTTGTTAGACCGGAATTTTTGGAAGGGCATTTGGGGCCTCCTCAAATCTCCCACTGCCTCCCAGGGGCTGGTCGTGCCCACCTGAGCCTCCTCTGTCTCCTGCACAAGTCTGACTTCCATTTGTAATTGCCTATAGGTGCAATTAATTAGGTTCTGTCGTTCTAATGACTCACAGGAGTGGCATATTTTTCCTCTAAATGCAGATATTCTTTTGAGGGTTTGTGTCTTTATCTTTTGCAGAAAATCACTAAATTAAAAGAATTGCCATTTTAAATTGCAGATTAAAGAGAAACTTAATTAGAAGGAATGAAAGCAGTTGTGTTTGGAGCTTTTGTTCTTAACATTTTTTTCTTCTTTTGCTGCTGAATCACTGTACTTGCAGTTTGTGTATTTTATTTTAGGTGAAATGATTTGCCTAATTAAGCCTGTCATTTATCACCACCTGTTCCCTCTAAATATATGGCTATATTATTAAGCTTGCAGGCGAATGTATAAATTAATTCAGTGGGGAATTACAGTGTTGACTGGGATGTTATTAGGTTTTATCCAGTTTATCTGGTATGAAAACCAATATTTTTTTCCAATAAAGTGAAACAACAACTCATTAAGCTTCTTCATTCATTAATTGGGCACCGGTTATGTGGCAGGCATGTGTACGGGATAGGAAACAAGGGTAAATGTGGTACAGCCCCTGCCCTTGAGGGTCTGGACACCAGACCAGTAAACTGGCCAGTAGGATGCCATAGACTGAAATCAAGGTGAGTCTGGAGAGGGGATGAGGTCAGAGAAGGCTTCCTGGAAGAGGTGGTCTCTGAAGGCCAAATGGAGTCGGTTAGGTGGAGAGGCTGTAGAAGGTTGTGGGGTTGTGGCCATTTAGGCAGAAGAATGGCCTGGAAGTGGTCGTGGTGCAGACTGAAGCTGGACAGGCAGCCAAGTCAGTGGCTGTGCTGAAGGGCTGGGGTTCTTTCTGCGATCAGTGTTCCATACTCCATGCCTGTCCTCACTTTCTGTGCCAGGGGGTATGTGGTGGGATTTTATATTGACAGAAATCTCCGGATTCTAATTTTAGTCTGAGGTGAACATGTCTTAAAATTCATCGGGTCTCTCCTTCTCTTTAGCCTGTGGCAAAAGTAAACCTAGAGTGTCATCTTCCCCCCAACCTCTTCCCACATCATGCCACTTCCCTGCCCACCTCAGCACTCATAGCCCCCATGGGACAGAGGTCTGCTGTGCGGCCCCCTCTCCATTCCTGACAGTCTCAGTTAGCAGAGGGGAGGACCGTGGAAAAGGTCACACTGGTCCTGTGGTCCCTGGCCCCCCTCTCCTGCTGTGCCCCAGGTCTCCTGTCAGTGGAGCGTCAGAAAGAGGTCTTTGCTGGCTCAGCCCATGAGTAGTCAAGTCCTAATGGAGTCATCTCTTAACATCCCTCCCATCCCTGAGGTACTCAGCCTCCCTGACTTTCCCTAACTCATCTCCCTGCCTCCCTGTTTGCCCCCCACATCCCTTCTCTAAAACTCAATCTGAGAATGGCATTCCCTGATTGACACATCCATAGGATCAAGACCCAGCTCATTAGAAAAGGGCTGTGTGACCAGGTACTCACCCCTGCCCAAGGTCACCATCCAGAGCTCTGCAAGGCAAGTGGCTCACGTCTTCCTAACCCCTCCACCCAAGAACACATACACCATTTGACTAGTTGCCATGAGGGCTGGAGGGTTCAGCTAGAGCCCTGGTGGGAGAGCCAGGTGCCTGGAAAGCCAGGCAGAGGCCCATGGTGACATGTGCCAGGACCCCAGCTCTGGGCTTTCCCCGCTTTACTACCACTACCTGGGTGAAAGTCCAGGCTATTGGCCAGATGGAAGAGGATTCTCTCAGACACCCAGCCCCAGGACCTGTTCCTTAGAAGAGCCTTGTCATTGCTATCTGTCCCCTCCCCACACTGCCAGTCCTGGCCTCACAGCCTGTCAGTGTCTCTAGGTTAGAGTTTGGCCTCTGTCCTGCTTCACGAATTTTAATTATAATTTTCTGTGAGTCCTCACCTCCTGGAGAATGCCAGCCCTGTCCCTCTAGTGCTCAGCCCAAAAGCCTGTAGCCTGTCGGTCCTCTTTCCCCCACACTCCACTGGGAACACCACTGGGAACACACAGACAAGCCCTGCTGGCCTGGCCTGCAGTAGTGTCCTCAATGCTCTCCTTATGCACCTCTCTCTCTCATTTATAAACTTTTTAAAGAGCAGTTTTCGGTTCACAGCTAAATTGAGCAGAAAGTGCAGGGGGTTCCCACAAACCCCCGTCCTCCATCTCTTCAACACAGCAGTCCTATTCAAAAGTGCCAGGTCAAAACCCTCCCCATCAAAACATCAGAATGACTCTCCATTTCTCTCGGAATAAAACCAAAGTCCTTTGCAAGATGCCACCCTCCATTCCCGCTGGCCTGTGTTGTTTCTGTCGCCCATGGCATGTTCCCACCTCAGGGTCCTTGACCATGCTCTTCCCTCTGCCTGGAATGTCCTTCCCCCAGGCTTTCTTCATGCAGTTACAGCAGCTGGTAGGCATGCCGTAGCTCAGATGTAGCTCCCTTATCGTGTCTCTTTCTGCCGGGACTCTAAAATCCTCCGGGAGGGATTTCTGTCATTTGCTCACTGCTCCTTCTCCATCTCTGACCTTGCCTGGCACATGATAGTGAGTGTTGAGGAGTGGGGTCGGTTGATGGACAGGCTGCCGGCCTCCCCTGCAGTCATGATGTGAGTGAGCACGCACACATGGGTCCAGCATGTCCAGAGCCTTCCATAGGCAGGAACCTCCCTTCCCATTGTTTTCCATAGTGGTTAATGCAGAAAAGTGTCTTGGAGTGTTGGAAATGCTTTGCAGTCCTGATGGAGGATCTTGTGGAGACCTAGATCAAGTTCATCCACATTCCACGCCCCCACGGTCAGAGCTGGGGTTTCCCACCACCCCCTGTGAGTGATTGCCATGAGTCTGGCCAGGGCAGAGGATGGCTCACTACATCTGTGCTTGCTCTTTGGAGAGGAGGTTCCCCCACTGTGTGTCCGTGGGCCTGCGGCTTGTTCGCCAGGCCCTGGCCCAGGTCACTCAGCACTCTGTGTGCTAGGCCCTTAGGAGGTTATTCTGTCATCTGGTGTTCACAGTAATGTGGTGAGATGGGAAATGGGGCCTCAGAGAAGTTGAGTAACTTGGCCAAGTCACATAGCTAGCCACTGACAGTCTTGGGAGAGGAACTCAGTTCGATTTGGAAGCTTATGTGAAGTACCTGGTACGGTGTCCGCACTGAGCAGATGTGCTAATAATAAAAGTAAATATTTATAATAACATTGAGCATAACTACATGCCAGGTGCTGTGCTAAAATCTCAGTGATACCACCTGCTTGAACCCTCACAACAACCCCATGAGGTAGAGACAGTTACCATCCCCTTCAGAGAAGGAAACTGAAGTCCGGAGAGATAGCTTGCAAGGTGGACTAACTGATCTCTCGGAACACTTCTGGCAACTCCAGGTTCAACTCAGTTTTTTCTTCCCTTTGTGGGGTATCTCCAGGGTCCTGCGCTTGAGAGGCATCCTCCCCAAGCCTGTGAGGGTGCATGATGCTCCCACAAGGCCCAGAGCTGGGAGGAAGCATACGGCAAGGCTGGCCCCCGTGCTGTGTGCCTCTTCAGCCTCGCCTGGCTGCTGGGTGTGGGACAGGGCTCTCTGCGTGTGGGCCCCATGCAGAGGGCACTGAATGAAGAGGAGCAGACATGGGGGATGGTCCATGACCCTTGACTGGAACTCTGTAGGGTTATCCCGGGAGAAAGGGAACAGATGTGGCCAGTGTGCCCTGAAGGGGATGGGAGTATAGGAGAAGAGCCACTGGGAGGCAGAAATAAGGAACCCTGCCCCCCTGAGAACTATCCAGGGGACTGAGCCCTTGTGGGAGTGCCATGTCCTCTTTGCTGGGGATTGCAGGGATGTCCTTCGGGGATAAGGCTGAGCTCAGTGGCCTCTGGAGGGACACTCAGCCAGCCCCTTGAATGCACCATCTGGCTCTGACAACACCTGTTGTAGGAAAGTCAAGTCTCTTGAGCCATGTTCGTTCATTGCCTGGAGTTCTTCCCCCTGTGAATCGTAAAGCCCCAGTGAAAGCAGTAGACTATTAACCCACTGTGCACCTCCCAGTAAACTCGGATGGCACTCTGATGACCATGCACTTTCTTTCTCCCCCACAGCCCAGTTTAATGGCAACGAGAAACGGCAATCATCTCCCTCGCCTTCCCGGGACCGGCGGCGCCAGCTTCGAGCTCCTGGAGGGGGCTTTAAGCCCATCAAGCATGGGAGCCCTGAGTTTTGTGGGATCTTGGGCGAAAGAGTGGATCCTGCTGTCCCCCTGGAAAAGCAAATGTAAGTTCTAAGGGAGCAAGGCACAGCCTCAGTCATTGTTCATACAGTCATTGTTAAGGCTGAGAGAAGGTCAAGGCCACCATCAAGCCAGTGGCTGATGGGATTAGGATACAGGTCTCCTGATCCTTTAACCCATGCTTTTTCTCTTCATACCATATCACTACCTTTCCTTTGGATAATTATACATTAGATTCATTTTCTAGCTACGTTGATAGTTTTGCCTCACATCTGCTTGGCATTTGTTGGGCAAGGATTTCACACTCTAGATTTGGGTTTTCTCAGCCTCTTTGCCTTGAGATTTCCCACCTCATGACCCAGTCCCGTCCCTACTGACCCCTTCCCTCCCTGCTCTTCCCCAACACTGTTACCCCTCCCTCTGACCATGGTGATCACCTCCCTTCTCACTGTGTGCATGCCCCTGCTCTGCTCTGCTTTGCAACCTTCAGTGGCTCCCCCTCACCTCCAGGATAAAATCTCAGCTCCCTAGCCTGCCACTCACTCTGTGAATTGCCCCCAGACTGCTTCTTCAGTTGCTCGCCATTCCATATACCTGGACTAAAGCGAGTTTCTCCAGGTACTTGCTAAATCAGGTCCTGGATCTTGTGTTGATACCTTCAGGTGTATCATACTCTTAACCAACAAATGTGTGACAAAGGGGGTTATCCCCATTGCATAGATGGAAAGTCAGGACTCCAGGAGGTACATGGCCTTGTCTGGATGTCACAGCTCAACAGTGCAGAGGCAGGATTGGAACTCCAGCCCTGTAACTTGACCTCACACTCTCCCCTTACTCACCTCTCCTCGGACACAGACTCTTGTCCCTCAGCACAGCCTGCAGTGCGTCCCTCACAGGAAATGCTCACTTGGTGAGCAGGATTTTCCAAATGATGTCATGTGCCGTGCGCCCCCTTTTCAGCACATGTTGTCATCTGGGAGGAGGTGTGCAGCCTCCTCTGTGACCCCCCCCCATGCCTGCTGTACCGAGCACGTGAGGAAGCGCTCCCAGTGGGCATCTTTGCTAACTCTCACAGCCACCCAGATTGGGTGGTAGGTTTTGCTTATTTCTGATCACTGTGTACTTTTTAATCAACAAGCAAAATACTATTCAGAGATAGCTGGGCTCTATTCAGCCTGCATCCTGACCGTTTCCACCTAATGTCCCCTTCTAGCTCCCGCCCCTGTCGGAATATAAGCTCTGTGAGGGCACTGCATCCTCAGTGCTTTAGAACAGCACCTGGCACGTAATAGGTGCTCAAAAAATAGTTGTTCAGGAAATGGATGAAGTCCCCAAAGAGATGTCAGTGCTGTCTCTTTCCCTTCCATCACCTCCCATTCTCTCTCAACACAGTAGACGGCTCCCTCCTTTGAAGATAGGCTCTGCTCCTGGTTTTCCTCCTGCCTCCCCTGGCCACCTCTTCTGTCTCCCCAACCGGCTCCTCGCCTCACTCAGCTTGACCTGAGGGTGGGACGGTCTGGGGCTGGGTTTCCAGCTACATGTTCTCCCTGGGTAGTCTCCTCAGGATCCTGGTAGTGAGTCAGCAGTGCCACACACCTCCTGGAAGTCCCGACTCCTACATCCAGCTGCCATCTTGGCATCTCCACTTGGCTGACAAGTGGGCATCTCAAATTTAGTATGTTTAAAACTGGGCTCCTGATCTTCTCCGGACACTTGCTCCTCCCCCAGCTTCCCCACCTCCATAAACAGCATCATATCTACCTACTTCCTCGAGCCCCCAATCTGGAGTCCTCTTGGATTCCTTGTTTGGCCTTACGCCAGCATCTAATGCATTACTGAGTTCTGCTAGTTCTACACCCAGAATCACAGGCTGAATCCATCTGTTCCTCTTTGTCTCCGAGCCACCTCCCATCGGGACCACTGCGGAAGCCCCTACCTTGTCTCCCACTTCACTGCCCCTCTTGGCCCCTCTTCAGGGTAACCCGGTTGGCCTTTTGTAAGACCATCGAGAGCAAGTCTCAGCCTCTTTTTAAAACACATTGCCCTCTGCTATGCTTAGAATGAAATCAGACTTCTTCCCTTGTTCACAAGGCCTCGGGGAATTAGGCTCTGCCTCCCTTTACACTCTCATCCTGTACCACTCCCCATGCTCACAGTGCTGGGCTGGGCCATTCTTGCTGCCTTTCTGCTCTCTGAACTCCCCAAGCGCCTTCCTACATTAGGACCCTTGCACTTGCTGGTTCCTCTGCAGAGGACATGTTTTCTTTGGCTCCTTACGTGATTGGCTCCTTCTCACGATACAGATTCTCAGGTCAGATATCATCTCCTTGGGAGCCTCCCCTCTCTGTTCATTCTAACTTAGGCACTTCCCGTGCCCCGGTCACTGCCTATCACAAACTCAGGATTCCTACATAGCAGTTGTCACTTTCTGAAATTGTGTCCTTAATCTGTTTGTTGGCTCTCCCTCTTTCCTCCATCAGCCCCATGAGATCAAGGATGTAGTCAGTGGTGAGTAAATATTGGATGAGCTAATAGGTAATGCATAGGCTGAATGGCAGTGGTTGAGTCTTCTTAATCCCCCGGATTCTGGCATGACTGGCCAGCCCCGCAAAGTCCTGCACTTTATAGCCTCCTGCCTAGATCCTGTTTGCAATCCAAGCAGAGCCTGCTTGGGCCCAGCAGTTGGCCCTCAGCCCCCCATGGGACTACCCAGGCCCACCCTGTTTCCTGGTGGCCAACCTCATGCCAAAAAGGCTGGCCAGCGGCTGGCCCTGATCCCGATTGTGTCCTTTGGCCCTTCATTCCAAACTGCCTGGGTCTCCTTTGAATCTCGACCCGAGTCCCTGCCTTTCTCTCAGCGTGTGGTAGCTGGGGCAGCCGGGAAGGAGCCAGCAGCTCATCCTGTTTACCCACCAAGGATTACCTTTAACCAGGATCCCGAGTCCCCGGAGGCCCATCGGTTATCAGCTCAGCCCCTGTGCTCAGCCAGGGGCGGAGGGTGGGCGGCACTTCCCCGGAGACTTCATCTAGGCCTTTCCCTGAGGATGGCTCTGCTTCACGTGGCTGGAACTTGTTTTCCTACTAAAACAACATGTTTGTCAGATCACTGAGGGAGTGTTACACAGGTGAAATTTCCTGGAAAATGACTTTGCCAAGTCTGTTAACTCTTAGTTCTAAAGTCCATTCCATCCTTGTCTGGCCATTTCCCCAAGCTACAGTCATGTATCCCTTCCAACGTGTGGTTTCAGCCCTCACATCCCTGGACGTGCTCTAATTACGGGAGCCTGTATTCCTCTTCATTTCTCTTTACATCTAGAAAAGAAGGTGGATCTGTGCTTCCCCTGCCCCTTCCCTTGGTGAGTCTCCCCTGCAGATATCCAGCCCCAGAGCTGACCTGCTGTGAGTGATCGCCTCCTCAGTGGTCAGTGACTCACTCACATGCTCATTGGGCAGGGACACTCGGCATCTGCTCTCCCACCCTCGCTTTCCTGAAGCAGGTTGGGTCTTGAGGTTATAATTATGTCATCGCCACCACTGCAGCTAACCATTCAAAACTCTGCTTTGTAAATGGCAGAAAGTGTGCGGTGAAAGGCAGTGCCATGTTTTTCCCTCAGCACAATGCCTGTAACAGAACTCCAGAGGCACTGTTTGCAGGGCACCCCTGGGCCAGGACCAGGAGGCAGCAGCATCCCTGCTTACACCCGGGAATTTGAAATGCAGCCTACGGGTGGGCAGCAGCCTGAATAACAATAGTTGGGGGAGTTCCCCATGGCCAACTGCAAGTTCAGTCTCTTTCTGCAGATGCTGGAAACTGCCATTTATTGAGCCTCACCCCACACCAGCCTCTGCATAAGCCCTCCTATGCATCATCTCATTTAATCCTCACCCCCCAAGTGACCCTAACCCGATAGAGTAATGAGGTGCAGCCAGGTTTGGCCACTTGTCCCTGACTGCCCGACTGGCGAGTGGCAGAGTGGTCTGTGCCTCTGTGCCCATCCCGCACCTATGGTTCTCTTCCTGGTCCTGTCTCCCCACCTTCCCACTGCCCCTGCCCCTTAGAGACCGTGATGTAAGCAGAAGTGCATTCTGGGTAGACCCACTGACGACCCATCTTGTGATCTTCACTCTTCCTCTAAAATTTTATTTTCAAATCTCCCAATCTCGAAAATCAGTTGTTCGTCTTTTGTCCTGCAGCCAGGGGCCTTAGTCAGGTTGTCTGCCAGTCCACCCCTCCCTTCTGATTCTGCCCCTCACCATATGATGTCCAGAAGCAGTGATGCCAGGCTTCCCACTGCCCCAGCCGATGCCAGATTTGCTTGACAGGAACACTGGTGTGGCTTCCCCACCCAACTGTCTGCTGTCCTGAGTGACAAGCGCCCCCCACTTGTCCCGCAGATGCCACAGAGAGTCAGCATGTGTCCCTCCTGGCAGTATTCTCTGATGGTCTCCATGTCACTCAAGATGAAGAAAGCCAGGGTCCTCTCATTGCACACAGGCCCCAAGACCAGCCCTGCCTGGTGGCCTCGTGGGTCGCACTGCCCACCCCTCCCCTTTGGCTCTCTGCAGCTGTGCTGGCCTCCTTGCTGTTTCCCAAGCACATCGGGCATTCCTGCCTCGGGCCTTTGCCTTTGCCACCCCTCCCTCTGCCAGAAACTCTCTCTTCCAGTTACCATCCTTTGTGGCTTCCTCACTTACCTCCTTCAGGTCCACACTGAAAATGTTGCTCTCTCCGGAAAGCCTCCCTGTCTCCTGCTTAAAATAGCAGTCCCTACACAAGCTCCAAACCACACTGCCCTGCTTCATGTCCTCTGTAGCACCTATACTGTTGTGCAAGCCCCGTGAGGGAGGAGGCTGCAGGCTTGCTCACTGCTCTCTCCCCAGGGTCAGGCGTGTGGCACATACTCAGCGGTTCCGTACCGAATGACTAAATGCACAGTCACCTACCTGCCTTGTGACGAGGGGGCTGGGACATGCCAGCTGCCCTCTAACGGGGCTGAGCCTCCCCAAGGAGGAGTTTGCGACGGTGTCAGCTCTGGGGGGTCCCTGTCCTCGCTGGGTTCTGACCGTCTCTCTTCTCTCCAGCTGGTATCACGGAGCCATCAGCAGAGGAGACGCCGAGAACCTTCTGCGGCTCTGCAAAGAGTGCAGCTACCTTGTCCGGAACAGCCAGACCAGCAAACACGACTATTCCCTCTCCCTGAAGTGAGTACAGCCTCGCCCACCCCCCTCAGCCCTCCTCAGCAGCCTCGAGTGAAGCGCTGATTTGGGCGGGTCTGATTTTTACGTGTGTCACAAAGGTTGTGAGGAGTGCTGGGAAGAGCCAGGAAGAATCCCACCGGTGTTCTCATCTTTGGCTGCTCTGTAAACTGTTGGGCTTTCTGACCCATGAAACATCGCTGTTGAGATAGGCAGCCCCAAAACAAGAAAAGGGTTTTTTGCTCGAGTGCTTCCTCATTCAGTGCTGTTGCTGAATGGGACCCAACAGATTATCTAAAACCCATGTTACAGATAGGAAAACTGAGGCCTAGAGAGGGGAAGGATTTCTCAAGGAAATATAGAGAGCTAGTGATAGAATTGGGGTTTAAGAAACTCAGGCCCATTTGCCAGCACAGACCCCTGGGAACAGTGAAGCCCTCTGCGTGGCTGACTCTCTGCTCTGCTCACCGTTCTTAGAGCATGTGATAGAGAGAGGGCTTGCTGTGACGTGGCTGTCAGCCATGTGGACAGTAGCAGCAGTGCAGCCACAGAATGAGAATGAGAGACTGGCCTGCACTCTGCACTCAGGACGGAGCCTACCCTGTCTGCTGGGCTCTGCCCTGAGAGGGACCGTGACTGGATGCAGAGCACAGCAGCAAACAGAGGCACTGAAAGTCTGCCTGGGGAAAAAGGATATGTGGGCACATGGTGGGAATCACAAATCTCTCAAGGATTATCAGGGCAGAAGGAGCCGCTGTGGTTGGGGGCCCCCACATGGCAGTTATGGGCAGGCAGATTCCAGCTCAGCAAGAGGAAAAGGTTTCTAACCGTCAGAACTGATCAAGAATTAGATCCATCCAAAGCTGCCTCGAGAGGTAGTGCATGTCTCATCACTGAGGGTGTGCAAACAGAGCTGGATGACCCTCGTCAGGAAGAACATGGAGGGAATTTCTCACCAGCTGAGAGGGCACTTGGGACAAACAGCACCCACATACTTCACTGTCTACCATCAGATCTGTTGGCATAAAGAATCCGTTCAGTTATCTCAGCTGAGAAGATCTCAGTACTAAACTGCAGGGCTGGGAGGCTGGACTGGCAGTGAGCACAGTCAGAGACCCCTCTGCGGAGGGCAGGGGGGCAGGTGCACATCACCGGCCATTCTGACAGGGACCAGGGTCCTCACCTGTCTGCTGCTGCATGCAGCCCCACTCCCTCCCTCACTGTCCAAGGTAACTGAGCAACCCAGGTGCTCTTAAGTGATTCTTCCAGATCTCCACACCCCACCCCACTTCCTACCCCCTGCCTCAAGGTGAACTGTGCTTTTCTGGGCTTCGAGAGGTAAAGGTGGCAGGTGACATCAGAGATGGGATTCCCACGTCACTGCCCTTCCACGCTGACCGAGGCAGCCCACCCACCCCCTGTGCTTCCTCAGTGCAGCACTCATGGCGCTGCCAGTCTGCGTTCCTCTGTGAATCTCTTCCCTCCTGGAATCTGGGACCTGGCCAGAAGGGTGTTCCCAAAATCACTGATTGAGTGCAGCCAGGAAGGGGGGTGGGGTAGAGCACCCCATACCAGTCCCAGCTAAGCCTCTGCACTAGGCGGGCCGGACCCCTTGGGGACTCCAGCACAGCTCTGCCTACACAGGAACAGTAGCCTCCTGAGTGCCCAGGATGTGTCACAGCTGAGGCACCAACATGGGGCCATATAAGGAATCTCAAGCCAGTTGCAGAAGTAACCCTACCAACACCTGCAGGATCCAATTCTCAGTCTCCTGTGAAGTGTGCCCAGTTATGCAAACGGGCCTAAAATCCACCTCCTGGGTGGGTCTTTAGAAGAGTCCCTCACGGCCCCAAGAGTGCAATTCCTTGAGACCGTTAAGACCACTCCAGAGGGATGGACGGCCCCTCGCTTCTGTTTTCACAGGCTTATCGTCCTGTGTGCAGGGCTACGTGCAGTGGAGAGAGCAGGGGGCAGGCTTCCCCACTCCACAGCTTTATGGCCTGGGCAGTCGTGTCACTTTTTCAAGCGCTCTCTGTGCACAGGGGATGACGATGCTCTTCTTACAGAGGGGAAGCATCTCTAACCCAGCCAGTGCGGTGTCAACATCATCTTATATTATTCTCACCCTGCCCCTGCTTTCCCAGGCTGACCCCATGGTTTCATTGAAAGCTGCTTTTAAGGGCAGCGGAGAGAACCTGTTGTCCAGAGTTCTGGACAGGAGTCCTGACCTGCCACTCACTGTTCACTGTGTAACCTTGGACAAGTTCCTTCCTTCTGGGACCCAGCACCCACATCTTACAGTGGGATGATGTCTGATGGTTGCTGAGGACACCCCCACCTATTACACTGAAGTGTCTCTGACTCCCCGGATTTCCTGTTTCCATGGGCTCAGCCTCCCTTTGTCTTTGGAGCACTTTGGAGAGATCCCCTGCCCCTTTCAAGCCAGGGAGAAGGTGGAGGAGACTGAAAGCCAGGCCAGCACCCCACATAAGAACACTCTACCATCAGGTCTGAGGTAGGATGACTGGTCTCTGCCCACAGGTGCTGGAAGTTTAGCTTTGCATGCTTGTCTAGAACCGTAAGATCCCAAAGGCCAGATGAGTGGTCTCACTTGGCCAGATTTCCCTTGAAGAAGCCCAGAAATGAGGAGGTGAGCTGGGCTGTCCCGTGGCTGGGCAGGGCAGCCTGCTAAGGGGAAGTGAGCTTGTTTTCCAGAGTGGCCCTAGTTCACAATAACCAGTCCGGGAGCCAGCCAGGGGGTGACACCTGGCATTAAGCACCTTGACCACAAATTGAATGGCCCTGGTACTGAATGTCACTGCTGCTTGGGACAGGTGCCAGCTTTGCCAGCCACCACGTGAGGTGCCAAGTCTCTCAGATCCCCAAGGCCTGCCTCGTAGGGGCAGGGTAGGATAGGCCTTTCCCATGCATGGTGTTGTCAGGAGCATGGTGGAAATTGACTTTGGAATTCCAGCTATGTCTTCATGTGCACCTTGAGTCCTGCTGTGAGGATGTTCTAGTGTGGAGAAAGGTTTTGGGGGAATCCAGCCTCAGATGACAGCCCTCCACCTCTTCCATCCTTCTCTCAGCAGATATTTACCAGAACCCACTGTACCAGGCACTGGGCAGAGCAGCATAGAGAGCCGAAAGGAGAACAGCTCAGCTTAGGCCACAGGAGCTCACAGCCTGGGCCTTGTTACAGGCAGGTTTGCACAAAGGGCCTTGGGGACCTGGAGTTGGCACAGGGGTGGGCAGTCCTGCCGTGGAGGCGGTTAGGAGAAGCTGCAGGTGCACTTGAGCCTTAAAGAGAGGGTAAGTGGTCCCCAGGCAGGGGCGGCTAGGGGGATCTCAGGTGGCAGGGGCAGCCCAGGCAAAGCCCTAGAGATGCAGAAGGCAGCTATTGGCAGGCCTTGTGCCTGCCTCACAAAGGAGTTGAGACTTAATTTTTAGTGATGGAGTCACTAAAGTACAGAGTCCACTCTCAAGGACCTGCCTTTATGCTTTAACCTCATTTCTTGATCCTGTCTCCCTGCGTATCTGCAGCACCTTACATCTTAGTAGGCCTTCATATTTGCCTTAGAACAGCCCCACAGGTGGCTAGGGCAAACAGAGAGCATCATCCTTTTCATTTTAGGGTAAAGGCAGCTGAATGAACTTCCAAGACTAGAGGGGAGCCCACAGACCCCCAGTCCAGTCTCTTCCCACCCTTCTCAAGCAGTCCTTATACCAGGTCAGAGGTCGTCTGGAATTACCTTAGAGGCCTGTCTGGTCCAGCCTTTCCTTCATGGGTGGCGAGACTCAGACCCAGGGGGGGTTTGTGATTGACCTCAAGGCTACCGAGGTGGCAGTTGACCACACCGACAATCGAGACGGTGACTGTTTCCCACAGTGGGGACCGGCTCAAGCTGCCACCCATCTGCCCCTCAACCAAACGCTCCCTGTACTCACAGCGATCCAGAATGGCGCTTGTGCTCCCCACCTCACTGCCTGTAGATCCCCGGCCTGGCAGACATCCCCTACCTGTGGCACAGTCTTACAGAGATCCTGCCTAGCTGCTTTGGAGCACGGCCCTTATCCCCTCCTCCCAGCGGAGGCCTCCCTCTTCCCAGTCTCCAGCCTGACTTGGAGGCAGCGGGCCCTTAGGCTTCTTCCCAGCTGCTAGCAGACACATTGGCCTTTCAGAACACTCACTCCACCCTCAGGGAATCAAGAGGTTGAACGTTTAGATATTGGTAAGAAAACACCACACTCTAACAACTTCCTGTCTGGAAAGGCAAGCAGTGGGGGAAAGGGATGAAAAGTCAAAAAATCTCATTAAAAAGGTTCTTCAGGCACTTTGGACTACGAATGACTTTTTGCAAGTTCCAGTTTCATGAGTTTTTGCAAAGGAATCTGGACAAGATGAGGAAAATGGATCTTCAGAGACTGGAGGGCTTGCAGCCAGTGGGGGCAGGGAGGCAGGATGAGTACCAGGGCTCCCCTCCCCATGTGCTGGGCAGGTTCTGCCTGCACTGGGCCCATCCCTGGGAGCGGGCAGACTGGCATTTCAGGGCCTCACAGGGATGTCGCTACTCCTTTGGCAAGGCCCTGGCCCTGGCTTTCTATAGGCAGTGAAAGTCCCAACTCCAGTGGGGGACATGACCCCTAAAAACCCCCACAAGCAGATCATCAGCTTTCAACTCCCCAGAGGCAAACCTCACAGCACCCTTGTAAAAGTGGCCCAGATTCTGACCTCAGGAGACACTTCTGGGGTCTGGCTTATTTCCATCAGGTTGCAGCTCAGTCTTGATCGTTCAGGAGCCTTCCTCATCCCCTGTAAGTTCTGCCCCACTGAGCATCAGTTATGTACTGGACTCTAGCCCTCCAGGAGTTCATAGCCAGAGAGGACAAGATATTTACACCTATTGACTCATACACTCACGGGACTACTTGAGGGCCACCCAAGGCAGAAAATGCTCAGGGTTGTGAAAGGGAAGGCACCCAAAGAACGGGGTATTTGTAGGACG